CTACAACTCCGGTCGGCGCCAGTGTCTAATGGCGGTCTTTGCCTCGAGCTCCGAGGGAAGACTGCTCCGCAAGTTCGGGTCTGACCCGCTACGGCGAGCGGGGGACCCCTAAAATTGCAGGCGCTGAAGCCTGTAAGCAAGGAGACTCGGTGGGCACCTTTAGCGCCCCCCGGTACTGCGAAAGAGCCTTTTTAAAGGCTACGGAGCAGCATCGGGTGTGAGCGCGGTGCTGAGAGTCGTCACCAGCCTGCGGAGCGAAGCCGCGTCGCCATTGAACAGAGAGCGCCGATTTCTTCCTGAAAATTGAATTTGGACTACAAACCCGTGAGTAAGATTGACAAATGAAACGGGACTTTTAAAAGTGGATTTTTAAATTTGGCTGAAAACGGGAAAGGCATAAAGTAAGGAAGTCTGCCTCCCCGGACTGCATGTAAATAAAGCAACGAAAAGACAGGCTGCATTCAAAGGAAGGTTAACCTTTAAGCTGTCTAAACCGGACATCGGATAGAAATTTCCCCCCCTAGCTAGCAGGAGAAGGGGGGAGGAAAATTGGAAGATTTAAAACCTGCCTGAAAGAACGGGAGAAAGAGAGCCTCCACTGTCAAATCCCTGAGTCGGGCTGCCGGAGCAAACACCGGGCAGCTGAGCTGTCAATTCAAATTGGATACAAAGTTAAGATCTTGACTGGGACAAAGTTACAGGACTTTAATGTAGCTATTTTGTGAACAGCTAAGTTGAAACTGTAAAGAGTGCTTTGACTGTGGATTTTGGGACTTTGCTGTTTGGACTCTTTGTTTCTTTGTTTTCTATCTCAAGTGCTTTTGGCTTTTTAAACTGGATACAATTAAATGCTCCCTCTAGAGGACTTAAAGAAAACTTGCTATTGTAGAAGGGAAAGAGTGGAAATTTCCACCTCTAAGACTTTCCTGTGAGAATTGACCTTGAGGACATGAGTGGCCAACCAGATGAGATAACAACTAGATCCAAAGCAAAACAAACTCAACAAACTCAAAAGAAAAGAGGGTCGATGCAAGGCACAATACCAGCTGGACAGGAAAAAGCACCAACTGCATCTATGGAGTCAATGACACAGGCTTTGCTTAAAATAAACCAGGAAGCACTGACAAAGCAGTCGGCGGAGAACACAAAAAAACTGAATGACTTGACAACCAGACTAGATCTGAACACAGCAAGTGTAGCCTCTAACACAGACTCTATAAATAAACTTATTCAAGAAAATTCTGAAACAAGAAAGATTGCTCAAAGCGCAAAAGATACAGCTGAAGAAACTAAGAGGGAGCTTGCACCAATTACAAAAAAGGTGAATGAACACGAAGCAACTTTGTCTTTGTGGGAACTTCAGAGAAAGGAGAAGAACCTTAAATTACGATCAGTGCCAGAGGAGGAGAAAGACAGTCTTATAGATTTCCTCACAGAAAACATCTTTGAATTTTGGCAGGACGAATTCCAGGAGGAAGAATTTGAAATAACAACGGCCTTCCGGTTGGGCAGAAGGCAAGGAAAGAAGCCTAGGGATTGTTTGATCACACTGAGATCTAAAGAAGAGAGAGATAAAATACTAAATCTACACTACCAAAGGTCTCTTGTAATCCAGAACTGCCAAGTCCAGATCTTTAAAGACATCCCTAAATATATACTGGAGGTGAGGGCCTTTTACAAAGATCTCGTCTACCTTCTGAAGAAGAACAGCATACCTTTCAGGTGGGAGTTCCCACAAGGACTGTCTTTTAACTATACAGGAAGGAAGATAAAAATAAAAACAGTTCAAGACAAAGAACTGTTTTTGGAAAGAAACTTGGAGGACCTGCAGAAAGGAACAGCAGACCTAACAGCAGAAAAAGAGCCGACTGATATAGCAAATCTCTCATTTGGACTTTTACTACCATCGGAGGAGGAACAAAAAACTTGGAGCAGTTGGAGGAGTAGGTACATAGCATCAAAATGTCTCTGCAACTTCTTAGCTGGAATTGTAATGGACTCAATCTCCCCAGGAAGAGACGCCAAGTCTTTCATATTTTGAAAAGAGAACAATTGGACTTAATTTGTTTGCAAGAAACGCATGTGATTAGGACACATAGGAAATTACTTACAAATAAGAGGCTTGGACAAGAATTTATCTCATCAGATAAAGTTAAAAAAAGAGGTGTTGTGAATTTATGCAAAGGAAAGATTGGCCCCTAAAATGATTTTCAAAGATGAACAAGGAAGATACCTGGCGATAGAAATACAAGTTCAAGGAGAAAGAATTATGATTCTCGGAATATATGCACCAAATGAGGGGAAGGCGGAATTCTTCAGGAAGTTGCATGAGACCTTAATGGACTATTTGGACTTTAAAATTATAATGATGGGAGACATGAATGGTGTTGTCTCCACTAATATGGATAAGGCACAGAGACAGACAATCTCCAACGATGGAAGACTTCCAAAAGACCTTCTTTGAAATGACTGAAACACTGGACTTGATTGATATTTGGAGAGTAAGGAACCCTCTAGAGAGGGAGGGAACCTTTTTCTCTGAAGCAAAAATGACCTGGACAAGGATTGACCAAATTTGGGTATCCAGCTGTATGGCACCGAAGATAAAAAAAGCAGAAAATTTGCCCAAAGACTTGCTCCGACCACAATGCAGTGAAGATAGAGATGAAACTAACAACAACTGGAACCTTTA